GAAATACCGAATATCGGAAGGTAACGTTATATGGCGACTATATAAAATCATGGACCGATATATCTCATTTTCAATACCAACCATCCTAAACACAATACAGATTGTTTTGCCAAAATGTTAAGCTCTATGTTAAATAATGTGGGCTGTATCGTGATTTCAACAGACGGACTGACAGACGGACATCGTTAAATCGACTTAGAATTTTATGCTGATTATGTATATATATTTTATGGGGTCTACGACGAATAATAAGGGATGTTACAAACGGAATGGCAAAGTTTATATATCCTCCTTCTTAGGGTGGAGGGTATAATGAAATATTTGAAACATTTTAAAACACCGAAATTCGAATACTAGCAAACTGAAAACAAATTGTCTTCTAGCAAATAGGAATTAAGCCTATCTACAATACTAAATGACATATACAGGGCTGTCACAGAAACCATGTCGGTTTAGCTTATTGTCGTTTTTGTTAACCGATGTTGGTTTCATTTGGTGTCATGAAACCAAGTTGGTTCTGTCAATTTCGAATGTAAATAAAGCCAATGTTCGAAACAGCTCTTGTTGCTTACATGTGTTGTTTGTTTATTTGTCATTGAAATATCAGTAAAAGTAAAGTAAATAAAAAAGGAATAAGTCGCTATAAATAAAGTAAGATGGCATCAGCAGTGGTAGTTTTTGTGTTGTTGGACGAAGAACGCTCAGAAAAGGTGACGAGAAAAGCTCTTAGAGGTTTCAGCAACCCACTGGGGTTGCCGGAGATAGCGTAAGTAATTTTTTTTATTGTGAACTTACTCATAAAGCTGCTTTGCAGATTTATGGTCCTTTAAAAATTATTTAAAAATCCACGTTAATGGTCCTTTAAATATCCTTTAAAAAATCTTTAAAAATCCACGTTTATGGTCCTTTTAATATCCTTTAAAAATTCTTTAAAAATCCACGTTTATAGTCCTCTAAAAAATCCACGTTTATGGTCCTTTAAATATCCTTTAAAAAATCTTTAAAAATCCACGTTTATAGTCCTTTAAATATCCTTTAAAAAATATTTAAAAATCCACGTTTATAGTCCTTTAAATATCCTTTAAAAAATCTTTAAAAATCCACGTTTATGGTCCTTTTAATATCCTTTAAAAATTCTTTAAAAATCCACGTTTATAGTCCTTTAAAAAATCCACGTTTATGGTCCTTTAAATATCCTTTAAAAAATCTTTAAAAATCCATGTTTATGGTCCTTTTAATATCCTTTAAAAATTCTTTAAGAAATCCACGTTTATAGTCCTTTAAAAATTCTTTAAAAAATCCACGTTTATAGTCCTTTAAAAATTCTTTAAAAAAATCCACGTTTATAGTTCTTTAAAAATTATTTAAAAATCTACATATTTAGTCCTTTGAATATCATTTAAAAATTGTTTAAAAAATCCACATTTTTAGTCCTTTAAATATTGCTTCCATTTGCTTCCATCCAAAAATTCAAATTGGCTATTTAAAATCCTTTTTTTATTGCAATCGGTTTCAACAAGACATCTCTTCTGAACTGGGAACAATCTAAAATGTTGTCCTTGTCCATTGCACAACTAAAAACCTCCAATTCATACTTAATATAATCATGACGCAATTTTTCCTTTTTATATAATGTTAGGAGCTAATTTTTGTCCTTATTTGAAAAGACTGATTTTTGTTTATATTTATTTTTAATTATTTTACTTGATTTAAAACCCAAATATCATTGATTCGAAAATTGAATTAATGTAAACCCTACATTTACATTTTGTATACAAATATATCATACTAACATACCCTGTAATAGCAACCAAATTTGACTTATTTTGTTCTTAATTACCCTGTTCTAGAACCTGCAATTAGTGCTTAATATACAACATGTTATCACATTTTGTAAAAAAAATTGCATAATCGTACCCAAATTATAGTTAACTTTATCCTACATTGTTATAAAATATCAAGCCACTAATCGAAATTCATTTAAAATGCATTTAAGAAAAAAGAAACAAAACTCTACATAAAATGTTACTAAAGGTAATTAAAGAAGAAGTCCAATGCTTAGAGAGGAAAATTTTTCCTTACAAAGCCTAGCACAAATCATGCATTGGACAAATTACACAATACTAGAATACAAATTCGTTAAAAAAAAGAATCGTAAAATATAACAGTTAACTATAAGAAAATACACCTAACCTCCAATAAGAAGATGTATACTCAAAATATATGTTACATATTTAAATAATAATAAAAAAAGAAAACCAAAAAAAAAAACTTTTAAAGTTATAAGCCAAACAAATAGCAAACTAATATAATTAAATGCCATATTTGAAACCAAAAAAAAAAATGTGTAACAAAAAACACAATCCTTTTTTGTCTAAATGTTATAAATCGGGATTAAAATCTCCCCTAAACTTGATATAGTACATACATTAATCTAAGTTAACATTAAAAAAAAATAAACTAATATTTCTATATTAAATTATTTATGATTTTTGTGATCACCAATATCCATATATCTAATGGATGCGACACTGAAGTTTTATTGCCTGAAGATATTTAAAGATTTGGGTAAGTAAATGGTAATACATTTTAAAAACCAGTAAAGAAAGTCTTAAAGTCGTTGTTACGGAGCGTATATTACGGTTGTGGGTAACAAATATAACAAATCGGATGAATACTATATATGGAAGCTATAGCTATATCTCAACCGATCTTCACCAAATTTGACATACTAGCTTCTAGACTCAATTCGGTTGTAAGTGCCAAATTTCATCCAATTTGGACAAATATTAGACGTTTGGTGCACAATAAAAGGTAAATCGGACGAAGTTATATATGGGAGCTATATCCAAATCTGAACCGATCTCGATAAAATTTAGCAAATGTATTTCTGAGCTGAATTTGATATATTTCCCCAAATATTGTTGTTGCAGAGTGCATATTACGGCGGCGGTGGACAAAAATAACAAATCGGATGAACAATATATATGGGAGCTATAGCTATATCTGAACCGATTTCGATCAAATTTGGCATACTTATTTTCAGGCCTAATTTGGTTGTATGTGCGAAATTCCATTCTATTCGGACTGATATTACACGTTTGGTGCACAATAAAAGGCAAATCGGACGAACATATATATGGGAGCTATATCTAAATTTTTACCGATTATCTCCAATTTCAATAGGGTTCGTCCTTGGACCAAACAAATGATTTGTGTAAAATTTCATCTGGATCGGGTAATAAATACGAACTGTACTTTGTTTACAAAAATACATGGACAGACGGACGGACGGACGGACATGCATAAATCGACTCAGAATGTGATTCTATGCAGATCATCAAAAGGAACTATGGGTCTATCTTGTTTCCTTTTGCCTGTTACAAACAAATGCACAAATACATAATACCTGACCACCTTGTGGTGTAGGATATAAAAACTGCAACCCACTTCAGACTGCTGTCATTTCTAAGCCACTTGTCCGACAGCTGTCAAAATTATTCCAGTGACAGCTCATTATATTGTTTACAAGCCTACAAAAGTTTGCTGAGACTTTTCCAGAAAAAAATTTATTCGTGATTCGGAATTCAAGCGTGATAGGGTGATTTCTTTATATTTGGCTAGAAAATCACAAGTGGCTATCGTTAGAGCACTTCAGCATTTAAATGTGAATAAATCTTTTATGTCTCGTATCATCGCTCGTTACCGTGATACTGGTTAGCGTAGCCCGACGTCAAGGAAGTGGACGAAAGAAACCAGCAACATCAGCAGAAATGCTTGGAAAAGTAATAAACGAGACTTGTTCGAAACCCGCCTCGCAGTGGCCGAAAAATGGCTCGTGAGCTGAACATATCGCAATATTCCATTCGGCAAATATTGAAAAATGAGCTCGAAAGTCATTGAAATTCCAAAAAGGGCAAGTTCGTACCCCGTAAAAGAAAGAAAATAGACTCAAAAGAGCTAAAGAGTTTCTTCGCTTGGCCGAAAGTGGTGAACTGCCGAATTTGGTTTTCGCCGTCTCCGATGAGAAAACATTCGTTGTCCAGCAGTTTGTAAACAAACAAAATGATCACGTTTTTGCTTGCCAAAGAGGTCAGCTGAAAATGTGCACCTTCGCATAGCCATCAGAACTCAAGCGCCGCCCATGGTGATGATGTGGGCCTCCATAACAGCCGATGGTCGCTCTCCGCTCGTATTTATCGACCGTGGCATCAGAATGAATGTCGAATATTATCGCAAAAATATTCTGGAGGGTGTATTAAAGCCTTGGGCACGCAAACATTTTGGCCGCAGGCCTTGGACATTCCAACAGGACTCAGCACCATCGATTGCACTCAACACACGCCACCCGAGAATGGTTACAGATTGAGGTTCCTCGCTTCATTTCCAGCGCACAATGGCTACCAAAATCTCCAGATAGCATCTCCGTAGGACTATTGTGTCTGGAGTATTTTGGAAAGCAAGGTTGGCACTAAAAATGACCAAAGTGTCGATCACCTCAAGCAAGCGCTTAGCCGGGAATGGGCCAAAATACCGCAAAGCAACATTCGGGCAGCGTGGGACGGTTTCATTGGCAGTTTGAAGGCCATAATTCGTGGCAAAGGTGATCAATTCGAACAAATCTAAACTTATTCTAAAATTTGATGCTATTTCCGACATTTTTTGTTTTCATTCAATAAAATTTAAAAAAAAAATATTGAAATTATGTCTTTTGACTTTGTTGTAGTTTTTTTTATCGCACCCTGTATATTAATTATACTTTTTTATTTATTTATTTTTTTATTTTTTTTTATTTATTTATTTATTTATTTATTTATTTTTTTTTTTTTTGATTTTAAACTATTGAGATTTTGTCATTATTGTTTTTTTTTTTTTTTTTGTTTTATTTTAAACTACCTTTATTTACTATTACTTAATATTTTGTACAAGTGAAATAAGTCTTATAATATCCAAAAAAGATGCTGATTTTCTTTTACAAAAATACATTTAAAAAAAATTGATTTCTTATCTCAATAAAATACATTTATAAAATATTGTTCATTTTTTTAGAGATTTCTGTTTGGGGTGCACAATTATTATCATATTTTAATTTTGCTATTTTATTTTGTTTAAGTAGTAAAGCTGCTGTTGAATGCTGAAAGCTAACATCAATGGTCATGCAGTAAGAAGTGCGTGTGTGTGTGTGTGTGTGTTCGTGTGTTGAATCCCTTAAATTGAACAGCCAATTGCAATGGTTAGGAAATCTTCAAATCCAATGGTAATTGTTCCATTCTGTTGGGTATCACGCTGACGGAATGCTTCGGTGAATCGTTGTATTTGAACACAAAGTACAATGAATTGATCGACGGAAACCTCTTTGTGGTTTTGTGGATCGTTTTTCTTGATTAAAAACTGAATGAACTCTTGGGAGAAACGGAAACCCATTTGTGTGAGGGCTGAAGGGACAAATATTCGCAATTAATATTTATTTAAAAAAATAAAAATTATTGAGCCTACCTTGATACAATTCAGCCTCATCAATGTGACCCGACGAATCACGATCATAGGTTTTGAACACCGTCAGCCATTGATTGATGTAATTGAAGAGCTTTTCGAATTCATTTATGTCAATGGTTCCGCTGGCGTCATTATCAAACATGCCTGGAATTTGAAGAGAAACAGGATTGATTCAAAAAGGAAAGACAAAGCAAATTTGGAAGTTTTACAGAACTTTTTTTAGAAGATCAACTGGCTATTAATTGGAAGAATTACTGGAAATATGTAGGTCTATATACAGAAAATATACGATACTTCTGCCATGTGGGAGAGGTACCAGAAGAAACGGTCCGATCCCTACCATCATTATAACAGATCTTGTGTTGACCGAAATATTGAGATGTACCAAGTCTGAATGAAATCGGATGTTAATTTTGCGTTTTATGAGCTTCATGGATATTCAAAATTTTGACACTTTGTGGGGGAGGTCCCAGAAGGAATGGTCCATCTTCACACCAGACCTTGGGTTAATAAAATTATTGCGATGTGTGAAGTATGAAGAGAACCGGATGCTTATTTTGTATTCAATAACCGTTTTGGTTATTTAAATTTTTGACACTTTGTGGGGGAGGTACCAGAAGGAATGGTCCGATCTTCGTCATCTTTATAACAGATCTTGTGTTGATGGAAATATCGAGATGTGCCAAGTCGGAATGAAATCAGATGTTAATTTTTCGTTTTATGAGCTCCATGAATATTCAAAATTTTGACCTTTTGTGGGAGAGGTACCAGAAGGAGTGATCCGATATACTCCATCTTCACAGCAGATCTTGAGTTAGTAGAAATAATGCGGTGTATGAAATATGAAGAGAACCGGATGCCTATTGTGGATTTTATAATCGTTTTGGTTATTTAAACTTTGACCCTTTGTGGGGGAGGTACCAGAAGGAATGGTCCGATCTTCATCTTTTTAAGAGATCTTGTGTTGATGGAAATATTAAGAAGTACCAAATCTGAATGGAATCGGATGTTAATTTTGCGTTTTATGAGCTTCAGGGATATTCAAAATGTTGACCCTTTGTGGGGGAGGTACCAGAAGGAGTGGACCGATATATTTCATCTTTACACCAGACTTTGGGTTAATAAAAATATGGTGATGTGTGTAATTTGAAGACAATCGGAAAATTACATCAAATTCTATAAGAGTTATAATTATTCAATATTTTGACCCTTTGTGGGGGAGGTACCTGATGGAGTGAACCAATATTGTCCATTTTCGCAACTGACCTAGGATTGATGCACATAATAGAATTTGCAAAAGTTGGAGCAAAATCGGATTGTTCTTTCTCTTTCTGTGCAGTAAAACATTTTTTGAAAATATCAAAATTTTGTGAGGGAGGTACCAGAAGGAGTGGGCCGATATTGGTCATTTCCGAACACGATCTAAGTTTGACAATAATATTACGATGAACCCTTCAAATGTCCTGAAACGGATTTGGTCCAAAGAGACCTAGGGTCTAAAACCGTTATTTTGATGAGGCACGTTTTGGCCGTATCAAATGATATATACCTTCTAGCCATATGGCTGAGGGTATAAGAATTCAAATATTCAAATTGTAACCTCCCATGGGTTGTTGTCTTGACTACATTATTTTCCTCAGATTCGCGACACCATATGTTCTAACTCATTCTACTAAACAACAATGCGTCATTAATGAATGAATTTTTTAATGACGTCACAATTTCAACGTAAACACTTGCCACTTGTCACCAGTGTTTATTCATCTAAAATATAGACTCAAAATTGAAATAAATCACAAATTCCAAATGTTTTCACGGAAATACTCACTTATCATCAATTTACATGCCGTCTCCGAGAAACTTTGACCCTTTCCATTTGCCAAAGCTGCCTGCAATTCGGTGCAGTTGATTTTTCCAGAACGGTCACGATCAACCATATTAAACCATTGCTGGACTTCGGGAGCAATTTCTGAATTCTGTGGTGGATACGCACCCGGCGGTGCTGTATAACCTTGAGCGTAGCCCCCGGCACCGCCCTGTGGGTCTCCGTACATATTATAGCCACCCTAAGGGAAAACAATTACAAATCCATCAATCAATCAACGCAATTCAAGCAAAACAATTTTTGATTCGATGAATATGGGGAGCACTACTTACGTATGACATTTTACAGACTTTCTTCCAAAAGTAAATTGATATTTGCAATTGTTGTTATTCTTATTAATAACTTGCTTAAATAAAGTGCAAAAAACAAGTGGACTTAGGGGCTTAATTGTTTAATAATAAAACTCACAAGACCTATGAAGGTAGCAACGTTGTTAACTATTGATACATTGAATAGTTAATATGACAGGGTGACGTATAGATTTCATATTTAGCTGCTTGTCACCCAGTAAAGCAGACTACACGCTCATCATTTTAACAAAATATGTACTGTACCCAAGAAAACAGTTAAGGTGTAGGTAAATTTAAGACACAACAAGTAAAAATGGCTGTGAATCACTTGCTCTCTAGAAATTTTTGAGGAACATATTTGGAAACACTAGATTTTTTGACTATTTTTAGCATTTTCTTTTGGTTATATATGAATAGGTAAATATATGTCACTTGGGCGGCATTTATATCCTCCTAAAAGCTAAAGCAGATCAAAGCTTAATATATCAACTTTTTGTTGGCGCATCTTGCAGGACTATAATCCTCAAATGTTTTCTTGAAATTTTTATACCCTCAGCCATATGGCTAGAGAAGGTTCATATGATTTTAGACCCTAGATCGATCTAGTGATGTCCGCCTGTCTGGATGGTGCGCACAATAACCCTCGAAGGGAGTATCCGATTTGGTTCGAACTTGATACATCGTAATATTATTATCAAACTTAGATCGACTTCGGAGATGGGATATATCGATCCACTCCTTCTGGTACCTCTCCCACAAAGGGTCAACGTTTTGAATATTCATGAAGCTCATAAAACACGAAATTAAAATTCGATTCCATTCAGACTTGGCACATCTTAATATTTTCATTAACACAAGATAATTTCTAAAGATGGTAGAGAGCGGACTATTCTTTCTGGTACCTCCCACACAATGGGTAAAATTCTTGAATAACCAAAACAATCATAAAATCCGAAATGAGCATCCGGTTCTCTTCATATTTGGCATATTCCATTATTTCTACTAACACAAGATCTGCTATGAAGATCACTTCGGCACTTACCGATATTTATATCCGTCTTAAATGAAGTTGAACCTCACGCATATTCCCACATTTTCCAAAAACTCGCACATATTTCATATAAAGTATAGAAAGTTTAAAAAGGAAACACAATAGTGGGCTATAAAGGATAAAAATAAGAACGGGCCACATTCACTTAAATTTACATTTTTTATCTTGTTTTGAATTAACAGACCAATGACGAAAAAATTCTTCATTTTCAAACAATCCATCATTTGTGAAAACTAAAGAATCTGGCATTACGAATGCTAAACTGCGCCCATTACTTTTCGTGTCAATTGCAGGAACAATCGAAACACCAGGAATTGTGTAAAAAGTAACAAAATTATCGAAATCATGTGCGAAAAGTAGCACCAAAAAGCTTTCTTTTAATATAATATTTTTCACAATTCCCAATTGTTTAGTGTTTTTTCTTTTTAATTCTTTTCTTTTTTTTTTTTTTTTTTGGATTTTGGTTGATTGTTGGATAGGTACCCGTAGTACCTATGTACCAAGGCTGGTTATTTTGGTTATGTGAGTATTACAAAATGAGTAATCATGTTGGTTCACTTTGTGAATATATTGATTGATGATTTGAGAAGAGTGATGACGTATTGGTTTGTTTACAATTCTAAATGTGCTGAGTGGATAAAGTTGCAAAGTTCGTTGATAATATTTTTGGTGAGGTTTTTCAGAAGATCAGGTAAGTTGTTGTAATTGTTGAAAAAATTGAATTCACTTCTCAGGTGGTCATATTTCTTGCATATAAATATTGAATGATTTTCCGTTTCAGGAACACTGCAAACTGGACAGAGATTTGTGTCTGCTGCTTTTATTTGGTGAAGGTATACTTTTGAGTATGTGTGACCAGCAAGTAAGCGATTAATTAGTTTTATTTCTCCAGGTTCTAAGTGCCAATCAGAATGCCAGTACCTTTTGGGAGGCGATGGAAAAAATTGCGCAAAGTAAGTGCCTTTTGAAATTGATAGTAATCTGTATTTGTTAACCCATTCATTCCATAGGGCATCGTAAATTGTCGAACAGGCGTCTTTGATAGCTAGACTGGATGGAATAACACATCCAACATCAGCGGCTTGCTTAGCAAAGTAATCAGCACGCTCATTTGAGGAGATTCCAACGTGTGATGGGACCCACACCAGGGTAAGATGATTTAAGTTTGAGGAGTTAACTTTTTTGTTGATTATGTTGACTAAGTAATTGTGTGATGTGTTGTTCTTTAGTAGCAAACAGGCATTTTTACTGTCGGTGAAGATTACTGCTTTTTGTATGCCGTCTTCAATCATGAGGTCAACGGCTTTGTTAATGGCGTTAAGCTCACCCATCAGGGAGGAACATTTAGAGTTTATTTTGAAAAGAAAGTTTTCATTCGATGAAATGTTGCAAACTCCGCAGCCAGTTTTGTTGCCAATGACCGAGGCATCGGTTGCCCAAACTGATGTTCCATTTGATTTGAATTGGCTGAGATGTTGAAGATATATGCTATTGAAGAACTCTTTAGCTTGTGATTGTTTTGGGGCATTAAACATGTTCATAACAAATGAAACTTTCTCCCCTGGGGATTCGGACGGACATATCATAGTATTGTCAAACACGTTTTTGAATTTGTTGTATATCATACCAAGACTAGATTTATTCGATGGGTTTGACGTGAATTTTTGATATGTTTCCTGTTGAAATATTTTGAATTTTAGAAGCTCTTTGGCGGCAAGGTATTGCGAGCGAAATTCTGGAGGCAGAACAATTGCCAAGGCGTATATTACATGAATAGGTGTTGAAGGCGTTAATCCTAGGCTTTTCCTTAAAATTTGGTTTTGACATGTTTTCAGTTTTTTATTGACATGATTAGGCATGTGTGCCATAGATGAAATAGAGTATTCCAATTTAGAGAAGAGGAGTGATTTTGCCAGATTTATTGATATTTTGGGATGAATTCCACCTTTGAGAGAATTTATCATTTTTAGAGCATTTAAAGTTGTGTTGCAAGACTTGATTACTTCATCGTAATGATTTTTAATAGTCAGACTATTTTTGATGTGTCTTCCTAAAAATTTTATCTTTTCCACTGCGTTTATTAAAGTCCCTTGAAGTGTAATTTTTGGTATTTTTCTAGCACCCTTAGCAATATACATTACCGCTGTTTTATCGATGTTGACTGAAAGATTTAACTTGTTAAGAATACCACAAAATTCATCCATTTTTATCTGAAGGTTATCATTGGCGATATTAAAATCTTTATGTGTTGACAGAATTATAAAGTCATCTGCAAACTGAAATGTTTTCGTATGTTGATTGTTTATGCCATGTAAACCGAGTGTGTATATATTAAAGAGTGTGGGACTTAGACAGCTGCCTTGAGGGAGACCATTGTAAATTTCCAGACTTTCTTTGCCCATGACTAGAGTCCTTTGTTTTAGAAAATTTATGATCCACATAGAAATTTCTTTAGGACAGGAGAGCTCATTTAAAATTCGGAAAAGTAATTCTATTTTGACACACTCATACGCCTTGTTGATGTCTAATGATACAATGATGACTTTATCACCTTGCTCTTTTTGACAGTTAATTGTATGTAACAAATCGTTTATGCACATAGAGGCAGATAGGTTTTTTCTATATGCATATGTGTTTTGTGGATAAATTCTGTTTTGGTCTAGAAAATCCTGAAGTCTTTCCTTCACCATCAGGTTAATAATTTTGGCGAAAACCGATATCAATGCAATTGGCCTGTAGTTTGTAAAGATTTCCAAGTCTTTACCTCTTTTTGGGATAGGAACAATTTTGATTTTCCTCCATTCCATCATAAAATTGCACTTTTTCCACGCATTGTTCATGGCTTTTAGCAAATTTTTTTTGGCCATTTCTGACAAATGGTTGATCATTTCATATGTTACCCCGTCTGTGCCTGCTGCAGATGGTTTCTTCTTTTTGTTTAGAACATTGTTAAATTCATCATAGGAAAAAGAGTCCGGTGTATTGGAACTGGTAAGCGGGAGCAGTATAGGGGAATTATTTGGGACTTGGTCCCTTAGATGTATTAAGAATTGTTTATCATTATCGGAGGACCATTTGGTTTGATAGATTGTTGTTGAAGAGTTTTTGCATCCTCTAACAAATTTAAAGAGTGATTTTGAATTTGGTTCCCTGTTGAGATCATGAATTCTCGTTTTGAATGCTTTGTTTTTGGCAAATTTAACAGCATTTTGGAAGGCTTTTTTAGCGTTAATGAGATTTGAGGCGTTGATGTTGTTGTTGAACATGTCATACGTCTTTTGTGCTGCAACTTGAAGTCTGTGTGTTTTTTCCACAATGGGATCCCACCACACTTTGGGTGATTTATTGGGATTTATGATGTACGTAGATTTCTTAATTTCATCATTGAAAGTTGCGTGTATTTCATCAAATGAGTCGGTAAAAGTGGTGTTATTGAGCGATTTTAACAGTTTCTTTTTAGCTAGAAACTTTTGATTTTTGACCTTACTGTTGCCAATACTTATGACTATGGGGTAATGGTGGCTACCCCCAATAGTGTACGGTTGTACTTTCCAAGTGGTATCTAAAGCCGTGTTTGTAAAGGACAGGTCCAGCACAGAACCAGTGTTATCATTGAGACGTTTTTTAAAAGTAAAATGTCCATTATTGAGATGATAGAAGTTAGATGGATCAAAGAAACTTTTTACGATGTTACCTCGATATGAGTCAAAAGAATCGCCATAAAATGTGTGTCTTGCATTAAAATCGCCGCAAATTAGTACATCGGATCGTGATTCAAGAAATGATAGCAGTTTTTCAAGTTCATGTTTTATTTCGCTGGCTTTAATGGAATGAGGGAAATATACAGACGCTATTGTCAAATTGTTTGAGATATTTGTTGTTTGGCAGATAATTATATCCAATGGTGTTTGAAATTTTATTTTTTTGAACTTGATGTTCTTTTTAAAAAGGATGGCAACTCCACCGTAGTTGTCTGTTCTCTTTTTTGACACTATATTATAATTATATATATTTGTGTTGTTTTGAGATTCATCTATGTTGAAAATTTCACTTAAGACACAGATATCTATATTGAATTTATTTAAGTAAAATTCAAGGTAATGCTTGTTCTTATTAAGGCTCTGTATATTATATTGTAAGATATTCATGAATGCTTTTTATAGTTTTAGTTTTGTAAGGAAGAGCTTGATATTGGGATTTCACTGTTTTCATGATCATTGTTTATCTTTTTTATATTTTTTTCAGTACGAGATAAGACTGTTTTTCTGAAGGTTTCTAGGATGTCTAAACCTTCCGCGCAGTTTAAGGAGGTGAGTAGTTGAGACATTTGGTTTGTAAATGCTGACATAGCTTTTTCCAGCTCAGACACTTTAGAGAAGGATGGCTGTTCATACACTGGAACTGAAGGCGTAATAGTAATGGGACTAGCAACCGGATGATTAGATTTGATCCGAGGAGCAGCTACTTTACTGTATTTAATTTTTGTGATCCTTTTGTTTATTTCATCATTAAAATTTATTTTTGATTGATTAGCAGCTTTTTTTAATGGAGGAAAATCTGAATTATACTTCTTATCTGCCAAAATTGCGTAAAAGTTTTGGGTTTCGGGATACTTTTGTATAACTTCTTTCCTACTCAAATTAGAAAGAGTCATAATTGATTTAATACTCCTTTCGGTTTTCCATCTTGGACATATTTTGTCATCCATAGCGTTGTGATCAACACTATTGCATAAAATGCATTTGGTTGAGTCACATACTTCTTTGCATTTAATCGTAGAAAGGCATTCCTTACATTTTTGCTCCTTGCATTGATTTGGGCAAATAATTAACTTGCCACAGTCAAGGCAACGTTTGGTAGACTTGCAACGCACAGCAATGTGACCAAGACGACCACAATTTTTGCACAGACGTACGGGGGGAACATATAGATCGGGTATGACTCTAGTACCACACATAAAAATGTACTGAGGAACACCATCGCATATGATTCCTACTTTTATGGTTTCAGTTTCTTCGATTGAATCATTTTCGTTTTTTCTGGTAAAACGGTAGACCGATATCACATCTATATCATTATTCTCTTCAATAGAATTTTTAATGGTTATACCATCAATTGACTTAGGAACATTTTTGATTACGTAAAATTTTTGGATAAATCTCTCAGGAATTTCGGCTTTCAGGCCAACTTCTTGCAGTCTTTTGTTTTGTGCAAATGAATTTGCCAAATTGCAGTTGTTGAAGGTAAGACGGAAAGTATTGTAGCCAACGTTTTTGCAAACATATGTAGTTGGCATATTAATTTTTTGCAAAAGGACATATAAATGTAGTTCACAGTTTTTCCTCCTGGAACTTATAGGAGTCTCTGACGTGACCATAACGTAAAAAGGCCCTGGGTGGTGTTGTGGGTAAAAAGTGTTTGCCTTCATGGCATTATAGTTTGATTCAAACTTTTGGGAAGATTCCGACTCATTGGATGAAGCCTGAGACATATTTGTACTAATAGGTTCACCATCATTGTTTATAAATTTTTTGTTTAAATTTGCAATTATATTTGCACGGCGTTTGTTGGGGTCCCAAAGTGGTTTTGGTTGGGGTGGCGGATCCCCATCCGCATCCATTTTTAAAGCACTATATTTAAATGGCTTTTAAATTAGTTTTCAATGAGAAAAAAAAATGATTTTAAAATGTCGTATATTCAGCAAAACAAAAGTGTGTTTGTGTTCGTTTTGTTGATATGTTTTTGTGTATATGTTGTTTTTGCAACGCAAAGCGAAACGAAAGTAAAAGCGCAGTCTAGCATCAACAGTTGTTGAGTAGCGACTGTAATTCTTTTCATTCCTCCTTTTTGAAATACATCAACACTCGCCCCTTGGTTCATTCAGTGAACACATACATTTTGAATTAAACACTGAACGTACTCCGAGAAATGAACGATACTCGTTTACTGTTGTTTTCATCTGCAAAAACAAACAGCTGTTGCTGCGTGTTGCATCTTCCCTTTCTACACACTCGGTGTGTTGCTTCGTTCTTTATTCGCAACTGACGGTGTTTTGAATGTATAAGTGTATACATGTATAATATTTGTTAATGTGTTGGTGTACACTGTACACAGAACCCAAACGTGAACTAGTTCTTTGAACGTTTGCTGGAATTGGCCGGTTGTTTTGTTAAATAAATATTAAAAAATATTTTATACTTATACCATAAACAATGAGTAACTTTGTAAATCTAAGCTTGTTTGAAAACTATCAAAAATATATTGATAATGAACAGGAAATGCGAGAGGTAATAATATAATACAACTTAGGGTACTATGATACAGCTCTTCCCGGACTGAGACTTCCATGAATGTACCCGGACTTGCAATCCATAGCCAGACACCAAATCCTTAATGTTTGATATCTGCTTTTTTTTAAGAAAATCCGCGTAATTGTTCGGGAAATTGAACAATTGGCAAAGGAAGCCACCATACAACTGCAGGTGATCCATTATGACTTGGAAAAGAGTAAGTAAAGAATGAATTGGGGTATTCAAATGTATTTTCTAATATTTGATATTCTCACTTCTTAGTTGGTTATGCCTGTGCTGGGGCCCGCAAACAAATCTCCGCCTGTGCTGAAAGTTACAAAAAGTTGGCCGAATTGATACCTGTTGGCCAGTACTATAGGTGAGTCACTGCACTTGCTTTTTGAGTGGGATGATATTAAAACAAAAATTTCTTCATTATTTGATTTCAAAAGGTATTCCGATCACTGGACATTTATAACACAACGCCTGGTATTTCTCATTGCCATGGTGGTGTATTTGGAGGCGGGTTTTCTTGTGACACGAGAAACAGTGGCTGAGCTATTGGAATGTGAGTAGAGTTCGATTTGAAAGCATTATTTAATGCAACATTGTATTTCTCTCTTCTTTTCAAACAGTGAAAACCAATCAAGCCGAGGGTTTCCATTTGGACATTGAAGACTACTTGATGGGCATACTGCAGATGGCCTCAGAGCTATCACGTTTTGCCACAAATTCCGTTACCATGGGTGATTATGATCGCCCCTTGAATATATCACGTTTTATGGCGGATCTCAATGCAGGCTTTCGTTTGCTAAACCTCAAAAATGATGGTTTGCGTAAACGTTTCGATGCTCTCAAATATGATGTGAAGAAAATCGAAGAAGTTGTGTACGACATCAGTATCAGGGGACTGCGCAATGGTGCAGTGGAAGAAGCTGCGGCCGTACCACCTACAGCAGAAGCTGTAGCAAATAATGATAGTCCTCCCAATGCTGACAACAAAACTGAATAATAACTGTATTATAAGTGGACAATTTTTGAAATATTATTGATTTTTTTTATTACCATAAGATTTTAACTTTCCTGAATTCCGAAAAGATTTTATTTTCTACTTTTTCATACTTGAATAAAACTAACGGAGTTTGAAAAAGCTCCTTAAATGTTATTTTCTAAAAAAAAAACTGGAATAGAATTTAATTAATAGTTTCAATATTTGTAAGGTTATTCCTTATACCCACAAGATCCTATTAAGAATTCTTCAATAGAATTCATATGATAAAGTGAATATATTGTCCTTTTTAAGTTGCAAAAAAACTTTTTTGAAGTCCTCCGCATGTAAAAGGTCGTTTATAAGGGTGAAGGTTTTCAACAATGCCACAGGCAGAGTTCTTTTTTATGCCCTCAGCCATATGGCTAGAGAGGGTATATATCATTTGATACGGCCAAAGCGGCTCATTGGACAAAATACGTTTCAGGAAAAGGGTCAAAATTTTCAATAATTACAACTCTTATAAAATGTGATGTAAGAGTCCGATTGTTTTCAAATTACACAAGATGGAATATATCGGTCCACTCCTTCTTGCACCTTCACCACAAAGGGTCAAAATTTTGAATATCCATGAATCTCATAAAAAGCTAAATTAACATCCGATTCCATTCAGACTTGGCACATCTCAATAATTCCTACAGCACAAGCTCTGTTATAAAGATGGTAGAGAGCGGACCATTCCTTCTGATACCTCCCCCACAAAGGGGCAAAGTTTTGAATAACCAAAGCATTTATAAAATCCAAAATTAGCATCAGGTTTTCTTTATATTTCACACATCCCATTATTTCTACAAACACAAGTTCTGTTGTGAAGATGGGATATGTCGGTTCACTCCTTTTTGTACCTCCCCCAAAAAAAAGCTCTAAAAACGCGAAATTAATATCAGATTCCATTCAGACTTGGCACATCTCAATAATTCCTACAGCACAAGCTCTGTTATAAAGATGATATACATCGAACCATTCCTTCTGGTACCTCCCCTACATAGGGTCAAATTTTTGAATATGCTAAACGATTATAAAATCGAAAATAAGCACACGATTCTCTTAATTTTTCACTCACCCCATTACTTCCACTAACACAAGATCTGTTGTGAAGATGAAATATATCGGCACACTCCTTCTGGTACCTTCCCAGAAAGGGTCAAACTTGTGAATATCCGTTAAACTGAAAAAAACGCGAAATTAACGTCCCATTCCATTCAGACTTAATATTTCCATCAACACAAGATATGTTATGAAGATGGGATGGAGCGGACCATTTCTTCTGGTACCTCCCCCACATAGGGTTGAAGATTTCTGAAAAGCAAAACGCTCAAAGAAATCGAAAAAAAAACATCCAACTCTCTTCAAATTTTGCACATACAAAAATTTTGCTAACACAAGATCTCTTGTGAAGATGATATATATTTGCGAACCCCTTCTGGTACCTCACCAACAAAGGGTCACAATTTTCAACACTTTTATTTGTCATAACATACGAAACAAATCGGCGATTCTTTACTTTACTTGCTATATCTAAACATTTCTCTTAACCAGAAACCTGGGATGAATATGGAATTTATGATTTCGCACAAAATTGGATATAAATGTTCTCTTTTCTCATAAATCGTCGAATTTTTAAGAATGCTCACTGGCTTTTGTAATATCGTCGACGAAGTGACTAATATTTGTCACAGATGTATTTTATATTCATTCATAACTTCTGTAGATTATACTTCCCAATAATGCAATGCGTTTTCCCTGTATCACTAAAAATAAACTAAATAAACGTTAAATTTGTCATATTCTAAAGAATTTAAAAACAACAATATTACCGTTTTTCGTCGATAACACAGTGTTGGTCATTTTTCACTGCATTGCATTGGTAATGCAGTTCAAGTTTCTCCGTTATTTATTTGTTTACAGCGCTCTCTGTTATTTTCCACCACTTCGCTCTCTCTCTCTCTCTCTCTGAGTTACAAACTCTTGTAAATCTTTGTTGTTGTTCATTTCTTGATTTCATTTGTGTTTTGGCCTTTGCTTCGTGCGGTTGATTGTGTTTGTTTGTTTTCCAACGATCGCTGTGTTGTGTGTTTGTGTGTCAAGTTAAACGTGTGGCGGGTGGCAGCCAAGAGATGCTGCTCCAATGCAAATAGTGTCCGATTAAATATTGAAAAAGAAAACAAATATTAATAATTGAAAATACAAAGAATTTATGGACAATTAAATAAAAATCCAACAATTGGAATTAAGTGCATTTGTGTGAGAAAAATAAAAAGAGGTGTTGTTTTTTATTTCGAAGTGTTTAAAACGCCCAGTGAAAAAAAGCGGAAAACTTTAAGGTAAGTTTGTATACATTCTTTTTTCATAGTTTATATGAACTGCTTCGATTCTCCAATTTCCGAAAAGCCTCATAGTCGCCAACAACGTGGATTTTCCTACTTCTTGGCATGTGACATAAAAAAATATTAGTATTTTTGTGGTGCTACTTAGAAAAGGCCTCTATTTATACACAATTCCATTGCTGGATTCTCTTCCAATTCATCCCTTCCTTTTGTGTTGGTACTTCATCTACCATTGGTTACTATTCATTTCTATTTTGTTCTATTCTTGTTTATTTTTCTTGTTATGGGTTTTTGAGGCATGTGCAATGACCTTTTTGGCTTTGTTGTTGTAATACCCAACACAGTGGGTTGGATTTGTTTAACAAAAAAACAATTTTTTTTGAAAAAAAAATAAAAAACACCAAAAAAAATGAAAACATTTTTATATAAAAGCATCTGAACGTGCTTCACTACAAATCCAAATATAATTTTTGGTGTAAATGTGACTATGATTATCAAAATACCGATCGGTGGGTACGTTAAATGTACGCTATAGGAAAAAGTGGATCGAAATATTCAATGTTCTGCCACCAGAGCTAGAATCCATTATAAACTACAAATACCAGTTTTTGGACAAACCCCTGAAAAAAGTGTGGCAAAAATCATCAAAATACCGAATATCGGGAGATACCGTTATATGGGGGCTATACAAATACCCATTTTTAGACAAATCCGTGGAAAAATGTGACAAAAAATGCATGAAAATACGGAATATCGCGATCTGCCTTTAAATGGACATCGTTCAATCGACTTGGAATTTTATGCTGATTACGACTACATATATACTTTGCGGGGTCTACGACTAACGTTTAGGGATATTCTCAAGGTGGAGGATATAACAACGTAGAGGAATGAAGATGCAGATAGAGTTTTGATTGAAGGTCCAATACCAAGTTTTTGGTTTGGCGACTGTCTGTCTTTGAAGTTTTTTCCCATAAAAGTGCTATTCTTCCCAGACCTGTGTTGTAATGCCTCCAGTTAAGTCTTTTTGACAGTCGCTAATGATCAGTGGGTTTACGTGATCGACTTTGTATGTAGCTATTAGGGATATGTAGGTCGACTTTCAACTATCGATTAATGGACTATTGAAGAAAAGTCAACTTTTTTTTATGCAGAAAAAAACTAGTCTACAATTCGAATTGATCTACTCACTTTGAAGAAGCGTTCGCCACATAGAATATCAAAGTGCCAAATTTTAAAGGTCTTTCTGTCACACGCTGCCCGAATGTTGCTCTGCGGTATTTTGGCCCATTCCCGGCGACGCTTGTTTGAGGTGATCGACATTTTGGTATTTTTTAGTGCCAACCTTGCTTTCCAAAATATTCCAGACACAATAGTCCAACGAATTGGCATCCGAAGATTGTGGTGGCATATGTGCACTGGAATGAAGCGAGGCGCCTCATTTTGTAACCATTCTTGGGTGGCGAGTGCTGAGTGCAATCGATGGTGCTGAGTCCTGTTGGAATGTCCAAGGTCTGCGACCAAAACGTTTGTGTGCCCAAGGCTTTAATACATCCTCCAGAATATTTTCGGGATAATATTCGGCATTTATTCTAATGCCACGCTTGATTAATACGAGCGGAAAACGACCATTGGCTGTTATGGCGGCCCATTGCCGGCACTTGAGTTCTAGTGGCCAACCGAAGGTGGTGCACATTTTCAGCTAACCTCTTTGGCAAGTGAACACGACCATTTTTATACCCTCCACCACCTCCTCCACCAAAGTATGGAGGGTATATTAAGTTCGTCATTCCGTTTGTAAGTCATCGAAATAATCATTTTAGACCCAACAAAGTATATATATTCTTTATCAGCGTAAAATTCTAAGACGATTTAGCCCTGTCCGTCCGTCTGTTGTAATCACGCTACAGTCTAAACGAATTAAGATAGGAAGCTAAAATTTTGCACAGATCTTTCTTTTGTCTGTAGGCAGGTTAAGTTCGAAGATAGGCTATGTCGGTCCACGATATCGTATAGCCCCCATATAACCGTACCCCCGATATTCGGTATTTTGATGATTTTACCCACATTTTTCATCGGAATTGTCTGAAAATCCACACAAGGAGTTCCTTGTGGGTACTTTATACCTCGGTAGAGAATTACCTATATAAGTCCACGATATCGTATAGCCCTCATATAACGGTACCCCCGATATTCGGTATTTTGATGTTTTTAGCCATATTTTTCAACGGAATGGGCACAAGGGGTTCTTTGTGAGCACTTTACCCCCCGACAGAGAATTCTCTATATAGGTTAACGATAACGTATAGCTCCCATATAACGGTACCCCGCGATATTCGGTATTTTGATGATTTTAGCCCCATTTCCCAATCGTATTGTCTGAAAATCCACACACGGAGTTCTTTGTGAGCACTTTACCCCTGAAACGGAATTGTCTATATAGGTCCACAATATCGTATATCCCCATATAACGGTATTTTGATGATTTTAGCCACTTTTTCCAATGGAATTATCTGAAAATCCACACAAGGAGTTCCTCGTGAGTACTTTACACGCAGACATAGATTTGTCTTTATAGGTCCACAATATCGTATATCCCCCCATATATCGGCATAGCAATATAGGAAATATTAGATATTTTAAAAGAATTTTTAATGGATTTAATTTTTTTTGTTGAAAATTTTCTAATTCGTTCCAAATGGTGGAGGGTATTCAAAGTTCGGCCCGGACGAACTTACTTCTTTTTTACTTGTTTTGTTTACAAACTGCTGGACAACGAATATTTTCTCATCGAAGACG